CCTCTTGTATAGCTGCTTTCCACTGCTCCTTGTATGGTCCAGAGAGTGCTTCCTCGATGCTCAAAGGTTCCTGCGGCAGATTGTGGAAGCAGCAACGGACCCAGATGTTCAGACCGGGTGGGGCGACGAAAACGGTGAGAATGCGGACAAGTGTTACATGGACGTTGGTCAGACGAAAACGGGCAAGGACAGCCGCGGTGGAACGTACAAGTACAATCTGGTTGGGATGAACAACATGAGGTTTCTGATCCAGAGTAACTGGGACTGGCAGAAGAACAAATGTGTGACGCAGAGGAAGTACCAGTAGGGGGAGGATTTATGTGTGTCATCATGCTCGAATGAAACGTTTCCCATCTCTTTCTGAAGTCTAGATACAAGGAATACGGTCCGATGCATGGATGTACCGTGAAATATAAATCAACAGCGCTTCTTTTATGCATCATGATTAGCCAAGCAGAGCCAAGCCTAGTCGATCCAAGCCTAGGAAAAGCAAGGTTCAGCCCAACCCAAGTAAAGCTATTCCAAGCAAATTAAAGCCAAGCCAAGCCAGGTTGGAGGGCAAACCAAGCCAAGCATAGCCAAGCCATGCAAAGCCATGCCAAGCCGGGCTCGACCAGTCCAACCCAGGACAAGCCTAGCCAAGCCAAGAATCGCCAGGCCAGGACAGGCCAGACCAAGCCAGGCCTCGCCAGGCCAAGCAAAGCCAAGCATTGCCAAACATAGTCCATCCAAGCCAATCCAGGCCATGCCAAGCCATGCCAAGACAACTCCATGCATGCCAATCCAAGGCAAGCCAAGAGGATAAATCAAACAAAGCCAAGCCTTGCCAGGACAGTCAAAGCAAAGCATAAGACAAAACAAAACAGGCCAACCTACACCATACCAAGCCAAGTCAAGCCAAGCCAAGCCAAGCCAAGCCAAGCCAAGCCAAGCCAAGTCAAGCCAAGCCAAGCCAAGCCAAGCAAAGCTAGACCAAGCCAGAAATGGAAAGCAGGCCAGGCCATGTTCAACCAAGCCAACCCAAGCTTTGCCAAGCCTCTGTCAAGCCCAGCCTAGGCTATCCACGCCAGGTCAGGTCAGGCAAGTACAGGTCAAGCCCAGAGAATCCAAGCCAATTCAGGTCAGGCTAGGCAAGTCCATGCCATCCCGACCAGGCCTGGGCAAGGTAGGGTAAGCCAAGCTAGGGTAAACCAAGCTAAGCCACGTATTGGCAGTCAAGGCAAAGAGTTCCCAGTCAAGGCAGGTTTTGTCTAGCCAAGGCAAGTATTGTCTAGTCAAGGCAAGTATTGTCTGGTCAAGGCAAGTATTGTCTGGTCAAGGCAAGTATAACCCAGTCAAAACAATTAAAGCCTAGTCAGGCAGATTATAGCCCAGGCTATTATAGCCTGGTCAAACAAGTGTAGCCTAGTCAGCCAAGTATAGCCTAGTCAGCCAAGTATAGCCTAGTCAAGGCAAGTATAGCCTAGTCAGCCAAGTATAGCCGAGTCAAGGCAAGTATAGCCTAGTCAAGGCAAGTATAGCCTAGTCAAGGCAAGTATAGCCTAGTCAAGGCAAGTATATGTACAGCCTAGTCAAGGCAAGTATAGCCTAGTCAGCCAAGTATAGCCTAGTCAAGGCAAGTATAGCCCAGTCAAGGCAAGTATAGCCTAGTCAAGGCAAGTATAGCCTAGTCAAGGCAAGTATAGCTTAGTCAAGGCAAGTATAGCCTAGTCAGCCAAGTATAGCCTAGTCAAGGCAGGTATAACCTACCAAGAAGGTACAGGCCAGACCATTCCATGTCCATGAAAGGCAGGTAGGTACAAACCAGGCATGCCATTGTAAGCCGTTGTAAGCCATTGTAAGCCATTTTCCGCCATGCCAGACAAGGGCAGACAAGGGAAAAACATGTAGAACCAATCTGGAATAGCGAATCCAAGCCAAGGCAATCTAAGCCATGCCAGCCCAGGCTAACCAAGCCTAACCAGGTCAATCCAAGCCATGGTGGCCAGGCCAGGCCCCGCTATTTCAGATGGAAAGATGTAAGATTTATGTCGGGAGTAGCAGCAAACTTAGAGAAAACGCTAAGAAATAGGATCAAAACGTGAGATATTGTTCCCAGGAAGTCAAGAAAATCTCAAAGCTTCCAAACCTCGAAAAAACCCTTAGTCGCAAACTAGTTTCGGCCAAACGGGACAGAACCCTGCTAAGCCTTCATCAGTGCTGCTTTCCAGGTTCAAGCCATGGTGGCCAGGCCAGGCCCGGCTATTTCAGATGAAAAGTTTGAAAAGCAAGCCAGCAAAGGCAAGCCAGACCAACTCCAGCCAAGACCAGGCTAGGCCAGGCCAGGTTAAGCCAAGCCAAGATAGGTTTGGAAAGATCAGGACAAGCCTCCAAACCCAGCCAAGAAAATCCAGGCCAAAATAGGCTAGACCAGGGCATGCCACGTCCAACCAAGGCAAGCCAAGCTCAGCCATGCCATGCCAAGCCGGGCTAGGGAAGGCCAGGCCAATCCAATTTACCAAGCCAAGCAGCCAGGCCCGGTCAATCCTAGAAAGGAAAAGCCAAGCCAAGACAAGCCATGCCAAGTTAGGGTATGCTAGGCAAGTTGAAGCCACGCCTGGCCATGCCAAGGCAAGCCAAATCCCAGCCAGGCAAGGTCCGGCCAAATTCAAGGCTATTCAAGCAGAGCCGAGCAATTCTGTAAGTCCCGAGCCATCTCTGTGAAATGCAGTCGCGCATCCCTTTGGGGTCTCCAGGAAGGGGGGTCTCCACGAAGGGGGGTCTTGGAGATGATCTTTCGCCTCGTCTTCCAACAATCCAAGATCTGCCTTTTGAGTCGACTCAAAAGTCACCTTGGGGTCTCCAGGAAGGGGGGTCTCCAGGAAGGGGGGTCTTAAAGATGATCGTTCGCCTCTTCCAAGAATCCAAGATCTGTCGCTACCATTCAAAGCCCTCGTTCTGTCGCGGTAGTTTCGAAGAGGGTTGGCCTTTGAGCACGATCCATCCGCATGGCATTTACTTGCTGCTTCTTACCAGAGACATTGTTGCCACCCCTGGTTACTGTTACTTTAGCAAGATTTCCAGCTATCATGACATAGACCAAGCCAGGCCGAACCATGTCCAACCAAGTCATTCAAGTCAGGCCACGCCATGCCAAGGTCATGCCAACCCAGGCTAACCCAGGCTTACCCAGGCTAATCCAACCATACAGCAAATATTGGCTAAGTCAAGCCAAGCCATGCCAACCCAGGCTAGACTAGACTAAGCCATGCCATGCCAGACCAGGCTAGCCAAGCCAAGCCAAGCCAAGCCAAGCCAAGCTAAGACAAGACAAGCCAAGCCAAGACAAGCCAAGCTAAGCCATGCCAAGCCATGACAAGCCAAGCCAAGCCAAGCCAAGCCAAGCCACGGCAAGCCCGGCCTGACTAAGCCATACCGGACCAAATCAGCCAAGCTAAGCCAAGCCAAGCCAGGCCATACGTGTATAGGCGTAACCATATGTAGCCGTGCCAGTAAAGCGAGCCTAAGCTAGTCAAGCTAGTCAAGCTAGTCAAGCTAGTCAAGCTAGTCAAGCTAGTCAAGCTAGTCAAGCTAGTCAAGCTAGTCAAGTCAATATATGCCATGCCAAGCCGAGCCAATCCAAGCCATAACAAACCAGATCAGGGTAGGCTATTCCATGCCAAACCATGTCCAGCCACACCAACCAAACCAAGCCACACAAAGCCAAGCCATGCGAAACCAGTCCAGGCCAAGCCAAACAAGTTCAAGAAAAGCCAGCCAGACCGGGCCAAGTCAAGAAAAGCCAAACCAGGTTAAGCAAAGCAAGGAAAAGCCAAGCCATTTCAAGGCACGCAAACTCCTGCCAATCCACGCCACCCAAATCAAAGCCAGGCAAAGCCAAGCTAGGCAAAGCCAACCTTAGGCCAGGCCAAGCCAAAGCCATGCCAGATCAGTACAGCCTAGGACAAGCCGATCCAATCCAATCCAAGCCAAGCCTAGCCCAGCCTAGCCAGGCAGGGCTATGCTAGTTCAAGCCAATATTGACCAAGCCAAGCCATGCGATGACTAGAAAGTCAAGCCACCCCAAGCCAAGCCTAGTCAAACAAATCTGAGCCAAGCCTAGCCAAGCCAAGCCTAGACAGCGGTCATGCTAGGACAATCCAAGCCATTCCTGGTCAGGACAGGCAAGGAAAATAAAAAAGTGATGGTCCCCAATCTTCTTCCTTTGGCCCTCATCGCCCCACCCTTTGCAGAAACCTTTGAGGAACCTACACAGAGGACTTTGCTGTTGAATGCTTTTATAACTGCAGATCTGACAGGGGAACACTGGAGGGGGCTGAGGCGAGGAGAGTTGGACGGGGGGTTTGAGGAAGCTTAGGGAGGGTGTGGGCAGCTCGAGGGAACAGAGGGGGTGGATGCTTGGCTATAAGGGACGAAAGAGTAGCTATAGGGGACGGAAGAGAATTTAGAGTGGAGGAATAGAGAGAGAATTACAGATAAATCAAATGGAACAAAATCAAAATATTTTTGCGTCGACTAGTAATTGCATTTCGAGTTGGTGCTGCGTCACGTTCAATGATTCAAAGCCTACGCAACACGTATTTTAGAAAGTTTGCTGCGAAGCAGTTGAAAATTTGAGATCCGGAAACATCAAATATACATGATTATTCAAACGTTAGATATTTTCCCAGTGTCTCTCCCAGTGGTGCAGATCGCAGGGGGCACTGCTACCTGCTCGGGTTGACCTGCGCCAACGAGCCTCACGGCAGGTCAGGCTAGTGCTCGGTTCAGTGCTGCGGTGAGCGTGAGACCAGTGGTGCAGATAGCAGGAGGACATTGTTACCTGCTCGGGTTGACTTGCGCCAAGGAGCCCCACGGCAGGTGAGGCTCGTGATACTCCCAGTGGTGTCCTGTGGTGAGATCAGTGGTGCAGATAGCAGGGGGGCGCTGGTAACTGCTGGGATTGACTTGTGCCAACGAGCCTTATGGCATTTGAGCCTAGTGATTCGCGCAGTGGTGTGATGAGCCGTGGACAGAATGGTATTGGCCATGGTACAGAACGGTGCAGATAGCAAGCAGGAGGGGCACTGCTGCTTGCTCGTGTTGACTTCTCTGCCATGTCCTGTGACCTGTCATCCATGTGTGCTCGGCTGAATGCTAGTGCTCGGTTGAATGCTAGTGCTCGGCTGAATGCTAGTGCTCGGCTGAATGCTAGTGCTCGGCTGAATGCTAGTGCAACAACATCAGCTGAATTATTGATCGAAGATGGGCTTAAAGAGAACGGTGCTTCTTAGTTGGTGTTTGGAAAATGTGTGTAGTGGTCACACTTGTATTAGGACGGAGTTTTGTGTAAGCTTCCCAATTCTCCAAGTTATTACTACGCTGCACTACAGGATGGGAAGCTGTTCGTTTCGTTGATAAGCTAGGTTATTTGTCTCCCACCAGTTTCCTTCCTTCTCTCTCTTCTCCCCTCCTTTCCTCAGGTCTGTCTGGTCCATTGGCTGTGGTCTGGGCGGCAAGCTAGGCCACGGCACAAAGTACGACGAACGCCGCCCGAAAGAGATCGCACACTTTAAAACCCTAGAGTTCACCCCCACAGCCGTTGCTGCAGGCGCATGGCATGCTGCTGCTGTTGCTGCTGACGGGAGAGTTGCCACGTGGGGGTGGGGCAGGCATGGGTGCCTGGGGCATGGGAAGGACCAGTGTGAAACGCTGCCCAGGGTTATTGAGAGCTTGTGTAAAACGGAGGAGGAGGGGGGTAGGAGTAGTGGGGTGAGTGGAAGGGGCGGTGTTGGCGTTGGTGCTAATGATGCTGCTGGTTCTGGTGGTGCTGCCTCTACCTCTGCTTCTGCTGCTTCTCCCTCTGCTGCTGCTGTTTCTCCATCTGGAGCTGGGGCGGGTTTCAGCAAGGATGACTCGCACGGTTCACGTGGCAAGCTCCGTCCGGCTGTGAAAGCATGCCACGTGGCAGCAGGGGATTACACGACGTTTGTGGTGGGGGAGGGCGGCGAGGTGTGGTCGTTTGGGAGCGCGGAGAGCGCGTGTTTGGGGCATGGGGGCGGGTGGGAGAGGGAGGAAGAGGAGGAAGGCGAAGAGATCGATGATGTTGATCTGCACGATATCGTGGTGAGTAGTGTGGTGGGTGTAGGGTCATGGGTCATGGGTCATGGCAGAAGGAGAGTACGAAGAAGACGGGGAGGTGGACGATGCGGACTTGCATGACATCGTGGTGGGTGCTTTTCTTTCTTTCTTTCTTTCTTCCTTCCTTTCCTTCTTTCTTCCTTCCTTTCCTTCTTTCTTTCCTTCTTTCTTTCTTTTATAGGAAATATGGATCCATGCTGTTTTGCGTGAACGCGTTTGAAGAAGAGTGTTGAGACGTCTCAAAACCCTTCTTAAAAAATATGGATCCGTGCTGTTTTGCATGAACGCGTTTGACCACCTCCCTGAAGTGCCTGTTTTCGCTGTTTGCCACAAACAATGGCCTCTTCTCTTCTTCCCCCCCCCCCCCCCCCCCCCCCCTCACCACACCAGCTGCGGCAGCACCGGAGGCGCAACCGGGATGTGATGCAGCCCAGGCGGATGTCTCTGAGCTGCTCATTCCCCTGCTTCTCTTACCCCTCCTGCATTCCCTCTCCCTTACACTGCCCACTTCCCCCACATTCTCCCAGCTGCGGCAGCACCGGAGGCGCAACCGGGATGTGATGCAGCCCAGGCGGGTGTCTCTGCTGGAGGAGCGAGCTACCCGCTTCTCTTACCCCTCTTGCTCTTCCCTCTCCCTTACACTGCCCACTCCCCCCACATTCTCCCAGCTGCGGCAGCACCGGAGGCGCAACCGGGATGTGATGCAGCCCAGGCGGGTGTCTCTACTGGAGGAGCGAGCTGCCCACCCCCCGGCTCCTCTTCCCACTGCCCCGGCTCCTCTTCCCACTGCCCCGGCTCCTGCTCCTGCTGCTCCTGCTGTTCCTGCCGCTCCTGCTGCTCCTGCTGCTCCTGCCGCTCCTGCCGCTCCTGCTGCTCCTGCTGCTCCTGGTGCTCCTGCTGATGCTGCTGGTGCTGATGCTGCTGATGATTCTGCAGCACTTGCGTCTACTGCCAACCTGATTGCTCTCCCTGCTGCTGCCACCCCTCTTGCTGCTGCAACTCCTACTGCTGCCCCTCGCTCAGACCCTACGCTGCTAGGCGGGGGACCTGGCAGTGCAAGGGCGGGTGTGAGAGGGGTGTTCACGTGGGGCAGTCTGCCTGCTGCTGCCACTGGGGGACGAGGAATCGACCCTGCAACGATTCCTGCTCCTGCTGTTGACGCTGCAGCTGCTGCTGCTACTGCGGCTGCTGCTGCTACTGCCACTGCTGCTGCTGCTGCTACTGCCACTGCTGCTGCTACTGCCACTGCTGCTGCTGCTACTGCCACTGCTGCTGCTACTGCTGCTGATCGATCTGGTCCTTCTGGTGCCGTCACTCCTGAAACACCGCTCTTGTCTGTGGTTACCAGTAGCTCTGGGAACGGTAGTGGCAGTTTGAGTGGTAGCGATGCGAGTGGGAGTGGCAGAAGTGATGCCATGGCTGTGAGCTTGAGTGACTGGATGAGCAGTATTGTCAGTAGTAGTGTTGGTAGCAGCAACGTTGCCAGCAGCAGCAGCAGCTCCGGCCTTAATAGCCCCGGCGGCAACAGCAGCAGCAACAACACCAACACCAACATCAGCAACAGCAATGGAAACGGCATGAGGAGCGCCGGCAATGCTACAGGCGGTAGCAGCAGCAGCAGAAGGGGTACGGTGGTGCAGATAAGTACGTCGAATGTCGACCACTTTGACGCTCACATGCTGGCGTTGACCAGTGATGGCAGGGTGCTGGCGTGTGGGGGCGGGAGTAAGGGGCAGCTGGGGGCGCCCCCTGCTGCAGGGGATACATCCTTCCCTCAGTTTGTAAAGGGGTTGGTTCTGTGAGTGGCTTGTACTGGATGAGAAGGGCTGACCTGCGATGACCGGCGTTGACCAGCGATGAGAGGGCGCTGGCATGTGTGGTTGGGAGTAAGAGGCAGCTGGGGGCGCCCCTTGCTGCAGGAAACACGTCCTTCCCCCAGTTTGTGAAAGTTCTGGTTCTATGAGGGTCTTGGGCTGACTGGGCGCTGGCGTTGACCAGCATTGACCAGCATTGACCAGCGACGGGGTTGCTGAGATGTGTTGCTGGCACTTGGTGCGGTGCTAATTCTGACCAGCATTGAGCAGAGATTTTAGGGGACAGGTGTGTGTGTGGCGAGGCACAGACAGCCACAGGAAGTTCAGGTAGAACCCCTGTGAAGAGATGGTGCGGATGGTGTGTGACATGGAAGATGAATGATAGGGAGGATGGGCGGCAGGGAGGATGGGCAGCAGGGAGGTTGGGCGGCAGGGAGGTTGGGCGGCAGGGAGGATTACGTGGGGATTGGCAGGCCCTGTAGTCCTCTCCTGTGGGCAGTGGATGTAAGACTGTAAGGTGGTATGGTGTTGCGTATAAGGTGGTAAGGTGGTTCATAAAGGGTTGGGGTACAGGGTGGTGGTAAAGAGTGTGAGAGGTGAAGGTACACAACGTTTTAGAAGGTGATGGGGACAATGGTTGGCAGGGAGGATGGGCGGCAGGGGAGGGTGGTTTTCAGAGAGTTAAGGGGTACAGGCCGGTGGGTGGTGGTAAAAACGATGGGATAGGTGGAGGTACGTAACGTTTTGTATAATTTGTGAGTTTGTACAGGAAGCACGGGGATGTGAAGAATTGAAGACTCGAGCAAGGAGCTCTTGAGTGAGAGTGGTGACTCATAATTGTCTCTCTGTACTGTAGTGTAGTGTGCATATTTTGGTGGTGATTGAATATAAACAAAATAGTATAGCCAATGCATAGAACGTTGAAGGGTCGAAGTTAGTAGTGGCAGGGTTATCGCCAGCATGAGAAGGCCTTCAGTAGTTGAAACAGGCGGGAATTTAACTTGTAAATATGTATTCGGTGGTAAATGCTTTTGTGAGGTTAGATAGACAGACAAACATATGATCACGTGGAGACGCGTGTCTTCAGAAACAAGGCATTGATGTGTAATACCAAAAATTGTCCGCAGGGCATAAATTGCGATTGGGTATTCAGTCCAATGCCTGTTGTTCAATGAAACTCTTGATGTTGGTTAGCATATATGCATCGTTTTGCTACTTGTATTAGAAGCAATTTCTAATGCATAACGTACTCGATTTGGACTAGGGATATGCAGAATAGGTGATACACCCATACTGAATTTCGGACTTCCTCGAGGAGATCGAGCCGCGATTTTGTGGGTTCGGGGCAGGTCCCGAATGTACTTCTGAATGCGGCTCAGCGCTTTATTGTACGATTTAGAGCAGTCTATTTAATCGTACACTGGAAAACGTGTTTTCCACCCCCTGCATCGAACACCTTCCAGGAAATCGAGTCGCGAAACCATTGGACATTGACATTTCGGGGAAATGCTTTCTCCCTGTGCCGAGAAGAAAAGAAAGGAAAAGAATCGTGACATTCATGAAACAAACACACGTCCCCAGCACTGCAAGTGTTTGAGCACCCATCCTCAGAGGTATAAATGACTACTCTCATCGCTTCTTATCAGCATTCCTTCCTCCCTCGGTCGTCACCCATCCTGTTCGCACCTGTTTTAAATCCCGTTTCTGATCACTCCACGTCCGCATTTAACAGTATTCATATATATCCCTGTTAATGTTTCCGCCTTGAAGAACCCCAGCCTCTCCAACAGCCCGTCTAAATGGCAAAACTCACGGGAAACGTCTCCCTGCTGCTCATTGTCCTCTCCCTCGTCTGCCTCTCGCCTCTCCCTCTCGCATCCGCCGGTGCGCCGCTTACTAGTAAGCAACGCATTGCGCGCACGCCCCGGGCGCACGAAGAGCACCGCCGTCAGCGCCAGCTGACCGACATTGTCGGCCGTGGCGCGACCACGCGTGTGCACACGTCTGAAGATCCAAGCGCTCCAATAACATACGGAGGAGGGCCTGTGATGACCGGAAACCCGTCCATCAACGTGTACATCACCTACTACGGCAGCTGGCCGGCAGGATCGGGGCAGAAAATAATCGAGAATTTCATCAGATCGCTGAGCGCGGACTCGCAGCGGCAGGGGAGTCCCGCGGATCCCAAGGTGAAGCGCTGGTGGGCGATCAGTGCGGCTACGCAGGAGGAAGAGGACGGCACAAAGACGAACGTTAGGAAGGTATGTTGCACATTTGCCACTACTCCCTCCCATAACTTTGCCACAACACCCCTCCCATAAAGCGCCTCGTCTCTCTCTATCAACTTAATGAAATGCAAATTATTTTGCATTCGTTTCATTCCAGGTGCGCCTCGCCAGGACTGTCCGTGACAACTACTCGGCGGGAAAGGATTTTGGCAAAGACACGGTTTGGGAAGGTACGCAGCACGGCAAAACCATTTCGCGGCCTCTTCCAGCATTTCGCAGCATTCCACCACTCCACCTCTTCCAGCATGATGATACCTGCCGTTGAGCAACTATGCACTGCCGTAAGCAAGTCAGGATACGTTTCTGTCACAATCTGAACTATTAAAAAGCCCTCCTCTTGTTGCAGTTCTTTCCAACAAGATTGGCGCTGGAAAGCCGTTTCCGTACGACGCGAGTGGCATGATCTACCTGCTTCTTCCCAGCAAGAATGTCACCGTCCCGGGTTTCTGTACCGAGTATATGGGGTGGCACAGCATGGGCTACATCGATTCCGAATCGCCGGTTGTATTCTCGTCATCCCAAAAATGCATGGAAGCTAAACCTACTTCGAAGCTAATTGGTAGTTACTTTGTGGTTGGTGTTACTGGCGAACATACTGAATCACGGGATGCGAGGCTTGGGGCCTCCCGAACGTAAACCTTCTGGAAAGTTACTTGCAGGCTGGAACGAATGTGTTATCGGCGAAAGGCCCGATCAGTTGGGAAGTCTCACGAGAAGGTGTAACTCAGCATGAGCGAACGGCTTCGTCGCATTTCATTTGTTCGTGATTTCTATCAGCAGTGATTGCGATCGTTTTCATTGGTTGAAATCAATGTAGGTTGACGGCCGCGCCTAATCACAGCATTTCGCGCGTAATAGTGTCAGTCGGCTCTGGCGTTTTGTTATTAGTGTTGGGTTTGGGAGAGAATAGCTCATGTCAGTTGATGTCAAATCCCTCGCGTTATCTCAGCCGTCCTATATTCGACAGGTGTTTGAAATTTGAGAGTTTGCTCCACACATTTCGGAATGTACATGGTCACGTGGACGTTCAGACGAACGCCACTTTGGCAAGAAAGTAGTGGTGAATAACTTACCACAATTCGTAACAGTTACGTTGTTTCTTGTCGCGTTACATTTGACAGTTGGTGAACTTCCATATAGGCATATATCAAAATGTAAATCATAACCTACAAATGAAATATTCATTTTGTATTACTATGAATTGGTATTTAGAAATTAGATACTGATTATAATTTTTATTGGTAATTAGATATTATTAAAAGCTAATTACAAATTAGGTCTAAAAACAACAATTAGCAGAAACTACAAACACGTGCACAAAAGGACACACTCACACAAACTACAGCAAACTACCTAGATTTGGGCCGACACACACACACTTGCACTCTACGCGTTAGGCACTCATACACTGCAACCGTCTTAACATTAGGGGCCCTGCAATCCCGGCAGCCCCTCGCAACTGATGAAGACCCTCTGCGTTGCCTCGTTAAACTTCCACGCTTTATACTCAGGCTGCCACCAAGGACCCGTCGCAGGAGTCCGGTTCTGAACAGCAAAATCTACGGCGTTGTGCACGTTGGAATGGTAGATCGCAAGAGCACGCTTGTTGTCAACTGAGCTGCGCGACATCTCTTCGTTCTTCAGGAGCTATTTCAACCTGCAGCACCAATAAGGGGATCCTTAGAGCAACGACAGAAATGGCAAACATTCTCATGCATGCTGATAAGAGAGTGATTAGTTCCTGCTTGCTTGATTGCCAGGAGATTTTCTTTGTTTCCTTGGAGTGGACGTCGAAGATTTTCCACGCGTTGTAGTTCTTTTCACTGCCGAGGTGTAGTCCCCACTGTGCGCGTTGTGAAAATCTTCCCGCTCGTACTTCTGGGGGTCGGTACTGTACCATGCACCCGAAAACTCGTATCATTTTTGTGCTGCCCTGTTTCCCTGTTAAAACAGATGCGTTGATGCATTGTTCGGAAGTGAAGACGACGACCTCAAGTTGTGCAGCATGACAGCGTGGTCCATTCCTGCAGGCCACTGGTGGTTGGGTAGTCGCATGCCACGTAACAGTTTGCGCATGCTGTTCTGCAGGGTCCTGTTCATTCTTTCTGCGACACCTTGCTGCTGATGGGCGTAGGGAAGGTAGAGGAGCTGCTTGATTCCTCTTTCTGCCAGGTACTGCTTGAACCGCTGAGAGGTGTATTCTCCCCCTCCGTCTGACTGGAAGCTTTTCAGTTGTGCTCCCGACTCTCTCTCTGCTACTGGTAGCCTGGCAGCGAAGGCTGCGAGTGCCATGTCGCGGCTGGGTAGGTTTAGGTGCCAGACGTATCGAGTGGCGGCGTCGATGAAGATGATCGTGTAGTTATATGTAACTTGTCCTGGTTCTCGATTGAAGAGGATATCGCTGTACACTTTCTCAAGTGGTGCGTACGCGGGTGCGCTCGGGTTGTGATGAGGAGTGAACGGTCGGTGTGGTAAGGCGGCTTCGGGGCAGGTAAGGCAAGTTCCTCGTGCCCGTTGAAATTCTCTGCCATCGGGTAGTAGTAATGAGTCCTTGTCAAGGACTCCTGCTCTTATTGTGTTGTTTAACACAGTGTTGCTTGGATGTCCCATGCGTGCGTGCCAGATGTCTTCGGAGGCGCGGTGTCCGGGAGAGCGTCGATACGCGTCGGAGTTGGAGTAGAAGCTGGTGACGAAGTTTGCGCTTCTGTGGACTTGTCGTTGAGTTGGATTCAGCTGCTGTGCGGGTGTTGGTGGTGCTTCGTCAACGAGGACTGGTGTCGTTGTTCCTGCTGCTGCTGACGATGTTTTTGCTGCTGCCGATGTTGTCTCTGCTGCTGCCGATGTTGTTTCTGCTGCTGCCGATGTTGTCTCTACTGCTGCCGATGTTGTTTCTGCTGCTGCTGAATGTTGTATTGTTACTAACGCACGCGTTCGTTCTGCTTCAGGGATGGTATGTGAATACCATAAGCCTTCCGGACTGAAGTCGGGGTCGAGATCCGGAGGATGTGTCCAGTCGGTGAAGTTCACGATGCGGCATGCAGCAACAGGGTATTTCGCTGCACAGCGACTCATGCGGGCGGGCGCGCCGTTCTAACTGTCCGGCTTGGCGGCAGGTTTGAGGGCAGTGGCGGCCGGTGATTCAAACCTGCTGCTGGCCGTGCTGCTGTGCGGATTCGCGTTTGTGGTGTACTCGACTCCCACTGTGTAAGCCGCACACGATGGAAAAGAAGCTTGAATGACGGGACGGAAAGGACAGTGGACTGAATCTGGATGAGCCGACGGGAAGGGGAACCACGGGAAGGGAGGTTGGTGGGAGGGAGAGATGTGAAGTGCCTCACATCAGCAGGTTTGTGAAGCGCTTTTCCCCATACTCTACACCACTGGGAAGCGATAAGCTATCGGATGTGTACAGACGGCTCTACTTTGCTGTTTCCCTTTTTAGAACAACCCCTCCCTCCATCCTCATTCCTCCTTGTAACCTACACCACAGGGGAGCGATAAGCTATCAGACGTGGACGGGCGGCAGTGCTCGGCTCTCTTCACCTCCACGCCCTTCACCCACGAGCTCTTTCAGGGGCTGCTCTCCGTGCGCGCGATTACTGCCACAGTATGAGAGCTCGCTCACTCACCCACTCTCTCACTCTCTCACTCGCTCACTCGCTCACTCACTCCCTCACTCACGCACTCACTCACCCATTTAACCACTGCTTCACTCCATTCGCCTCCTCGTCATTCGCCCACGAGCTCTTTCAGGGACAGCTCTCTGTGCGAGCGATCACAGCCACGGTATGGTTCACTCACTCACTCTCTTAGTCTCTCACTCACCCACTCATACATTCACCTCTTCTATCATTCACTCTACTCCTCTCTCACCCCATCCTCTATCCTCCAGGGCAACATCAAGGCGCTCCATGCTGAGCTGGCGCTGGTGACGTCAGCGGGGAAGGCTGCCACGTGGAATGGCATCACTCACACCACCGTGAAAGCCCAAGAGCGAGTTGGACCCTGTGCTTCCCATTCATGCTCACATGCTCAAATACATGATACATCCCCACATTCTTCCTCTCCTCACATCACCCACATCCTCGCATTCATCATCCTCTCCTCACAATCACACACATCCTCGTGTTTTTCCTCACATCGATTCGTAATTCATCCTCCCATTATGCTTACGTCACATGCGAGTCTCACATGTACACACTTCATATGCTCACCGCCTGCCTACCTCCCTACTTCTCCTTTCAGCCAAAAGAAACCATCGTGGCCCGAGCAACTGCAGCTGCTGGTGCCGCGTGCTGCTGCATCTGACACCTTGCTGCAGGTGGGTACTGTGACGTGTCAAACCTCATCCTACAGCGTTTGACACCTACCTTCAGGTAATTGACTAGAAGCCCAAAGAATGCATCACGGTCCGAGCAACTGCAGTTGCTGGTGCCGCGTGCTGTTGCATCTGACACCTTCCTGCAGGTGGGTATGTGCTCTCTCAGGTGGCTGTTTGATTGGCACGGCCACCATTGCTCTCACTGACTTGATCAAAGGTGGGGTTGAGAGTGTGTCGGGTGAATGAAGTTGGCTGTTCCTGTTTCCCTCTCCCGTCATCTAACCGCTGGTCTCTTGCCATCCAACGAACTTTGCCATCCCCATCCATGTTCTAACCAAGTGCTACGATTTTTTCTCATGCAGGATCCCATTCTGAGCGAAGCTACTACACAAGTATCCTGACTAGTTCCTGGCAGGCTTGTCCCGCGCTACACATCGTCGACCCTGCCCAATACATGTGAGTAATCGCCGGGAGTTGGGTTTGTTGTTGTACAAGCTAATCCAACTCAAGTCATATGTGCCTTAACTGTTTTAGTTACGTGTGTAACAATCACTCTCCAAATTGTTGCATCGTGATTTAATGCAGAGTGGAGTCGGAGGTTGTTTCAACAGGCGATGAACTCGATGACGACATGCCGCCGCTGGTTGAGCTCGAGGAGGCCTCACGGGTGGTGTGGAGCGTCTCGCTACCAGTACCACATTCAAACCGGAGGCTATGGCCTTTGTTGTTTGTGGCATTGGGAGACATTGCTGTCTCTGTTGGCTCTGCCCCACGCCTCCAGTGGCCAGTGTACCTGACTAGTGTGAATGTGCCGTTACATCGGAGAGATCTTAGCCTCTGGCGGCAGGTCCGAGATGGAGTACTGCGTTTCCATGTAATGCTTATGCCTGTGTGAATCATTTTGTTGTTTACAAAGTGCATATACGAGTGTCAATGTTGACTCTTTTGTCTAGTGAATTTTGCAGGCTTCTGCTGCCACAAGGTCCACTCGTGCAGACTTGGATAGACGTCGTGTTCATACGGTATCTATGACGACTTAAGGCTTGTGGCTTCGGTAAGTCTCAGCCTTATCATCCTCTCATGAATGTATGCCCAACACCACGTCTGATGTTGAGTAACGGACTTGTTTTTGGGTTATTCTTGCAGATCCCAGAGCCCCAAGATGGATATCTTCGTGTGTCGTCATTGCGGTAAAAAATACCAGTGCAACCTAGCTCTAGTGAATCACCAGCGGTGCAATCAAGATTGTTTAGCAATTCAGGAGAGGAATGCGTTTGAAACTCCGCCGACCCGTAGGGGAATTCTAGTCCCTCCTTTGCAGCCTGTACACCCACCACCACCGTTACCATTCGTGTTTGGTGCGCAATCTGCACCGTTAGAGGCAGAGCCTGTAGTTGAGGATGATTGCATCGAAATAGATGACTTCCATGATGCCCAAGCCGAGTTTGGGGAGGAGGAGGAGCCTAGGAAGTTTAACACCCGTTTAGAGACATTTAGGTTCTTGCAGTCGTGTAACAAAGGGACGGGCGCTAGCGCTCCCGACACTAGTTATTTCTTTAGACTAGTTAAAGATCCGGACTTCGATCCATCGGAATTGCTAGGATGGTCAACAAAGGCCGCTGTAGATGCTTACGGCATGCAGATGCTTGGAATCGACAAGTGTCAGAATGTTATTTGTCTAGCCTGCATTGGGGTGCTCAATACTGAGTACAACCCTTTAGGGTTTTCTATTTGTGTATCCCAACTCTTGCTAGTCACACCCTTTTTCCTTCCCTTCCAAATCTCTCGATACTCTCCCCTAGGAGAAACTCACTCGAACTCACCTACCTCCTAGTGTGGGCCTAGGCTACTAAGCCTAGGCCCCACACCTACTATTTTGTCATGGTATCTAGAGCGAGCATGTTCCTGCCGCCTAGCTTAACGGGCCCACCAACGTCTTCCGCTGCCCTACTGTCCGCCGCGCGCCCCGTGGCGCGCGGCTCTGCATTTTCTTCCCGCCACGCGCTCCGAGCGCGTGGCGGCTTTTTTCTGCCCGCCGCGCGCTCGGGGCGCGCGGCGGTTTTCCCGTCCATCGAAGCGCCCTCGGGGGGGCTTGCGCGCTGCCCTCCCCGCTGCTCGTCACGACGCCCGCGCGGGACCCGCGGGGCGTCGCCCCTAGTCGTCGCGACGACCCTACGGGACCCGCGGGGCGTCGCCCCTGCTCGTCGCGACGTCCGTGCGGGACCCGCGGGGCGTCGCCCCTACTCGTCGCGACGCCCCCTGTGGGACCCGCGGGGCGTCGCCCCTGCTCGTCGCGACGCCCCATGCGGGACCCGCGGGGCGCCGTCAGTTCCTGCAGCAGCAGCCGCCGCCGGCCTGCAGCAGCAGACGCCGCCGCCCTGCAGCAGCAGCCGCCGCCAGGCCTGCAGCAACAGACGCCGCCGCCCTGCAGCAGCAGCCGCCGCCAGGCCTGCAGCAGCAGCTGCCGCCAGGGTCTGCAGCAGCAGCCGCCGCCAGAGCCTGCAGCAGCAGCCGCCGCCAGAGCCTGCAGCAGCAGACGCCGCCAGGCCTGCAGCAACAGACGCCGCCGCCCTGCAGCAGCAGCCGCCGCCAGGCCTGCAGCAGCAGCCGCCAGGCCTGCAGCAGCAGCCGCCGCCAGAGCCTGCAGCAGCAGCCGCCGCCAGAGCCTGCAGCAGCAGCCGCCGCCAGAGTCTGCAGCAGCAGCCGCCGCCAGAGCCTGCAGCAGCAGCCGCCGCCAGCGCCTGCAGCAGCTGCCGCCCCTGGACCCGGTACGCTCTGTGCTGCCCTGTGCTGCCCGTGCTTGTGCTGCCTGTGCCTGTGCTGCCCGTGCCTGTGCTGCCCGTGCCTGTGCTGCCCGTGCCTGTGCTGCCCGTGCCTGTGCTGCCCGTGCCTGTTGCTGCCCGTGCCTGTGCTGCCCGTGCCTGTGCTGCCCGTGCCTGTTGCTGCCCGTGCCTGTGCTGCCCGTGCCTGTTGCTGCCCGTGCCTGTGCTGCCCGTGCCTGTGCTGCCCGTGCCTGTGCTGCCCGTGCCTGTTGCTGCCCGTGCCTGTGCTGCCCGTGCCTGTGCTGCCCGTGCCTGTGCTGCCCGTGCCTGTTGCTGCCCGTGCCTGTGCTGCCCGTGCCTGTGCTGCCCGTGCCTGTTGCTGCCCGTGCCTGTGCTGCCCGTGCCTGTTGCTGCCCGTGCCTGTGCTGCCCGTGCCTGTGCTGCCCGTGCCTGTGCTGCCCGTGCCTGTGCTGCCCGTGCCTGTGCTGCCCGTGCCTGTGCTGCCCGTGCCTGTTGCTGCCCGTGCCTGTTGCTGCCCGTGCCTGTGCTGCCCGTGCCTGTGCTGCCCGTGCCTGTGCTGCCCGTGCCTGTTGCTGCCCGTGCCTGTGCTGCCCGTGCCTGTGCTGCCCGTGCCTGTTGCTGCCCGTGCCTGTGCTGCCCGTGCCTGTGCTGCCCGTGCCTGTTGCTGCCCGTGCCTGTGCTGCCCGTGCCTGTTGCTGCGCGTGCCTGTGCTGCCCGTGCCTGTGCTGCCTGTGCCTGTGCTGCCCGTGCCTGTGCTGCCCGTGCCTGTTGCTGCCCGTGCCTGTGCTGCCCGTGCCTGTGCTGCCCGTGCCTGTTGCTGCCCGTGCCTAGTGCGCTCTGCTACTGTCTGCGCCCCCGTTTCCGGGTATGGGGGTGGCTGGTGTGCATTCCTCCCTTTCCTCCTCCTCCTTCGTCTCCCACTGCTGCAGCTGTCGCTGAGGGGGGTGGTTGTGTGGGAGACTGGGGTTTAGGGTTTAAGGGGGGTGCGTGGGAGTGGAGCTAGCGGTGTAGCAGCGGGTGTGTGTCAGGGGGGGTGGGACTGTTTGGGGAAGCTGCATGGAAGTTGCCGTCCTGTAGTCCGCAGCACCTGTAGTCCAGGGCGCTGTCCCGGTAGCCCAGTGAGCTAGACTTCTACGCCAGCCGCCCGTGGGTCCGTTGCCCGTCTGCCGCTGCTTGAGCCGCGGGGCCTGTTACTCCTGTAGTCCGGGCGCTGTCCGGTAGCCGCTGTGCCAGTCTGCCTCCTGTTGCCCGTGTGTCTGCAGCTTCAGCCGTCTCCTCCTATCTCCTCTCCCCTCACTCTCTCTCCTCCTCCTCACTTGCCCGTTGTGACTACCACTAGCTTTGCTCATAATTCTTAACTTTAAACTATTGCTTCTTTAACTTGTGCTCAGAATGTGTGGTGACATTGTGATCCACCCTGAGCTTGTACTACTTTGCCTGCTCTGCTGATTACACCCCACTTTGGCTATGGGGGTGTGTCAGAATGTTATTTGTCTAGCCTGCATTGGGGTGCTCAATACTGAGTACAACCCTTTAGGGTTTTCTATTTGTGTATCCCAACTCTTGCTAGTCACACCCTTTTTCCTTCCCTTCCAAATCTCTCGATACTCTCCCCTAGGAGAAACTCACTCGAACTCACCTACCTCCTAGTGTGGGCCTAGGCTACTAAGCCTAGGCCCCACACCTACTATTTTGTCAACAAGCTTCAGTTTCAGTCGCACCTCATCTCGGTTCGAGGGTGGCCATCCAGCTTCACCGTCAAGAGCGTCGACATCAAGCAGGTATTATTGATCAGAATTGATGATAGACTCACACACACAGTTTCGTGATGGACACACACACGCAGTCAGACCCTTCCATTGTGTGTTTGACTGATCATTCTCTTAATCTTTCCCATGTTGCAGGCCCTGGAAAGAATGTGGGGGGACATGCGCAATGCTCCAGGCTTCATCCACAAGCCACACGTAAAAATGACGAATGAGGGTCGTGTGTATGAAGGGGCAGACACAGGGAATTTTTGGCTGGGAGCACAGGTACATATGTCCCTTGGGTTCTTAGTGCGTAGATGTTATGTGTGCATGATGAACAAAAACCTAATGTGTTGTCTAACCTTTCTTATTGTGTTCCCACCCCAACAAGGGAAGAGTCCCACTGAGTGTGTGTGTCCGCTCATTCTTTCGAGCGATGAGACCACACTTAGTGGGAACGAGCGCTGCCGGGCTTGGCCGGTGTACTAGACGTTTGCCAATCTCCCCGTCGAGACACGATGGAAGGAGCATGGTCACGCCCTCGTCGCACTTCTGCCACAACCAGATCCAGAAATGGAGGCATGGCAGAAGGTGGAGTTGTTTCAGAAATCTTGCGATGTTGTTTTCAAAGCCCTCAGTGGGCTGTGCAAGACGTACATTTTAAACCCTTGTGTTGTCTCCTTGTATGTATGTGGTTAGATATCTAAAATTTATGTGTTAATGCGTTGCAGATCATTGCCCTTAACGGACCCCAACGGCAAGGTGTTCACCGTGTGGCCCAAGCTCTTCCAATACGTTGCAGATTATCCAGAGACGTGTAAAGTGACCTGCACTATGCAACACAACTCCGCAAGACCTTGCTCAATATGCTATGTGGAGAAGTCGAAGTTGGATCACATGGATCCGGACATCATTGACAACCGGGATCTCGAGAGGCAGTCTAAATATGCGAAGGACCCGAAACTCGCAAAGGAGTACTCTACAGTCATGATGGACGTGAGTGTAAACTTAGCGCATGCCTTTTCATATTGTAAATACCGTCCTGTTTCTTCTATCTAAGTGTTAGAGAGCTGTCAACATTCTCCTTTTGACATGATTGATTTTGTTGAACGCATGTTGCTATTGTTTGTGCCATGTATTTATAAACCGTTACTATGTTGTTCGTGTGACCCATTTCAGAGCTTCTTGTGGCATTTTGGAAGACAGCAGGACGCGAAAACCAACTGGGGTAATCCCTACAAGGTCATCTCACCCGATGTACTTCATGTCATCCTCATTGGGATCTGGGTGTACATTATGGAGGCTCTAGTATGGCATAACAAGAACATAAAGACCATGAACGAGTGAGTGTTGCTGAATTGGTGCTCCGTTTATCACCATATATTCCTGTTACACCCCTCTCAAACTTTCTGTGTGCGATAACGTTACAAGAGACACAGGGACCTTTACAGAGAAGCTAGAGCGGCAGGCATTCCACTTCCACCTCCAGGACGGTACTTCAGTCTTGGTGCCAACTTTCCAGCAGCCGATCATGCTGCCATGCTGCGAGTAAGTAGTTTAACATTTGCCATGTTGACAACTAGTACATGGCTCTGTTCTTTTTTACACAAGCGTCCCAAATAGGGTGATGCAACCCCTCTTTGCGTAATGAGAATTATCCCTTCTATTCCTGTTACACTTGATCTGCAGGTTGTGGTGTTCATCATGGAAAACCTGGTTGGAAGTGCGGCGCTGTACGGTTCTTTGTCAACTGGTTTGACGTGTACTTTCGGGCAAAGTCATACACCGAGGCAATGCTGACGCAATACATTAAGGATACCCAAGAGTAAGATCTAGATGCGCATGTTTCTGTGCTATGAAAACTGTAATGAAAATATGTGAAATATGTTGACCTCTTCAATGATTGGAGAATTTTCTGCCTTCCTGTTTCCCACTTGTTTCCTTTTTAGGCTCATCCGCTTGCTCAATAGCAACCTCCCTCGGGGCGGTAATGGCTGGAAATTGGTGAAGGTACACCTGCTGCTCCACTTCCCGGATGCCATCCGCCAGGGAGGCCTTCCTCGGGAGTATTGCACAAGCCTGTTTGAACACGCACACACCGCCACGTGCAAGAGGCCGTTCAGAGCAAGCAACCATCGGCAATACGACACCGCCATCCTTCAGAGCTCAGTGATCAGAAATGCTCTATCGTTGCTCCCTACGAGGTTGGAGAAGCATAGCATCTACGAGACTGCTCTGTTGAAAGTAAGTATTCATTTCTTGGACAACTGCGAAAGTTTTGCAGAAACACATATGTTAATTCCCTTGTTAGAAAACTGTGTATTAATGTCCATTGAAGCATCTTTTGGATGTTATTATTTTGCATTTTCCATGACTACAGGCTATCACTCTAAAAACCCAAGTCTTGACCACCCGCAGCCAGACGATGACTCTACCATGTCAAGAGAGGGGGTTAGCGGGCAATGCTTTGTGGAGTTCTTTTGTAGAGCACCATGGGGCCGGAATGCGCAGCCTGCCGAGTATGCTCCAGAACATGGGCATAAATTGTCACAGTGTGGAGGTAAGCATGTATTTTCACACATTCATCTCGCATCACATCCCCATGTCTATTAACCGGTGCTTTAACACACGACATCTCTTGACTGGCAGGTCCACACGACGTTGGCCCTGCCCCCTGGCGATGACTTTGAGGCTCATTACGCCCGTGCTGCTCTGACCTACCATGATGCACCTTGCTTCTCATACGTGGCCATCCTCGGGGAGGAAGATGGTCACATGGGCGCCCGCATTCTCACGACGTGGTATGCACAGCTTCTGCTACTCTTCCATGTGGACATTGTGCAGGACGGACGAGTCGTGAAGAAACCATTTGCTTACGGACGCACCACAAGCCCCCGCTCGGTGCCTACCATCACACCCGCGCCGTCGGTGCTGATGGCAACGATCCTCTGCAGATCCAGACCGACAGTCTCTAGGTGGCTTAGTAAGACGGTGAAAATTGATGCCGCGTCACACTTCTGGACGGTTAGGAGCGCCAGAAACTCGGTTGCAACCTGTCGGTCCTTCAAGAAGGTCACAAACACCACGAGATGCTTCCCGCGAGATCTGTCGGTGCTTTCATCACAACTGAGGCCGATCCAAGGCGACACGTGGATGTACATCATCTGTTGCTGCTGCTGGTAGGTGCACATAGCCTTCACCATCTCCTTGAAACCGTACCTGCAAGATGCGCAACAAAAAATTAGCCTCCGTAGCGTGCACAGAAAAATATCACCCAAGAATAAAAAAAGGTACTCACTCCGTGATGTAAACTCCGTAGCCCTGTCGAGGGATGTCAGGCACACCCTCCCTGGCCAGAAACTCCACAATCCGCGGGAACATTGCGATGGGTGCGTCTTCGTCGCACACAAATTGAATGCTCCGCATGAGCCTGATCACCCGCGCGCCCTCCACGTCCGCTCTCTCATAGTCGTCAATTTTCTTCTGCGCCGCCAACTTGTCGAGGAGCCCCTTCTGACGGTTGATGCACTCCTCATGGCGAGTGCTTGCTTGGTGCGCGCGCATCGACGCTGGCTGCAAGTCGCGGCCACCGCTTCCATTCCTCCCGTATCGTGCGTTGTCTGGGCCGTGTTCACTGCACACACTGCAACGCAAGCAAGGCAAGCCGTCATAAGCCTTGTCGAGCAAGAGCCAGTCAAACATCGGGTGCCATTTCATAATGTAGTTTCTGTTGGCTTCCTGGAACTTTGCTTCAGCGCGTTCAGCAGCAGTCAGCTTGAGAGGTGATGGCACTGGAGTGACCGCGAGAGGTGGCGGAGGAGGAGGTTTCACAAGCGGCGTGCCGGCGCCGAACCCAATCGTTGTCTGCGTGTAGCGGCGACGTTTCAGCGCTGCCGAATTAGAAGACTCCGGGGCTTCGGTGACGATGTCCGTCGTCTCAACGTCACCGTGAACGTCGAGGTCCGCCTCATTGCTTGTGGGACGTTGCGTCTCAGCGTCGTCTGAAGCTAGCTCCTGCTCAGGCGGGGGTGACCGTGACACAGCTTTGCGCACACGAAATTGCCAGCCCTCACTGTCATCCGAGGGCACAGGCAAAGGGCGAGGTGCAGATTCAGTTACATGGCCTCGCAAAAACTCGAGACCAGTCCTTGGCCTATAGCTACAAGAGGGGTTGCCATCATCGGCATTGGCAGCGTCTCCAGGCGCAGCCATGGCTACCAGGTGGTGGTCGCTCAGCTGCTACATTGAGTGGTTAAAACAGGAGCGACTTTGGGGTGGTGGTGAAATGACGGTGTCACACTATACTGCTAGCTGTGCTTGCAGAACCCACACGGCAAAGCTTCGGGACAGAAACTCACAGAGCGCCACGGTCGGGGACCGTGGTTTGCATCTCCAAGCACCGACAATCTGAATGTGGTCCCACTCCCAGGACTTAGTTCAGGCAGCAATACTGTAGTTGCTGCCAATGTGGGATTGCGTGTCGTGCTGGCAAGGGAATTATTCCTAACTGACCAATCGGACACATGACAGAAGCCAACGCAAGTACCGGGGGGGGGGGGGGGGAGGGGAAGGGGTGCTTTGTACGCACTTCAGTGTAATCTAC